TCAGTGGCGGCGCCAGTGGGGGGGGGGCAAGGGGGGGTAATCATTTTTTGCCCCCCATTTTGCCCCCCCGCAAAAAAATTATTAGTCACTAAGAGCGACTAAAGGCTACACAAGCGTTCTGTCGTTATCGGAAAATGTATGGCTTATAAGTTGTCATTACTCATTAGGGAATGCGCGTATACATGAAACTGTTTTTTACAGTTTCAATATTAGTTTGTAAATCTCTGAATGGTAAAACTTGCCAATACTCCAATAATACGTTTCAGCTTTAGTTTTGCAGAGTTAAATTCTCAAACGTGTAAGGCAATAATAAGATGAAAGTATCACGAAATTATTTGAATAAACCACATCGCATATATGGGGGGCCGAATGTCCTAAAGAGGGGCGATATTCCTAGGGTATTCGCCCCACCCCCCTGGGAGGCGATATTCCTAGGAATATCGCCACGTTTTGAGGGGGGGGGCGAATTTCCTGGGGGGGGCGACCTTTTTAAAAATTCTATCTTGGCCCCCCAAAATTTGAGTTTGCCCCTCAAATGCCCCCCCCCCCAAATTTGGAAGCCTGGCGCCGCCACTGTCTTTTTTTTTAGCAAACCCTATATTTTAGTAGCCTAAGTGTGTGTGGGAGGGGGAGGGGTGCTTATTATCCTTACTTGCAGCTGAGAGTTAAGCTGAATTGCGAAGGACACAGCTAGGGCTAAACTTAGGTCTGTTTCATACGTCGAATTTCGGTCGCGTCGAATGCAATTCAAACAATAGATAATGAAGTTTAATGTTTATCATCTCATTATCTATTGTATTAATTGCATTCGACGCGACCAAAATTCGACGTATAAAACAGGCCTAAGGCGCCTGTATACGTCGAATTTCGGTCGCGTCGAATGCAATTTAAACAATAGATAATGAAGATTAATTAATGAAGTTTATCATCTCATCTATTGTCTTTATTGCATTCGACGCCGACCAAAATTCGACGTATAAAACAGGCCTAAGTAGTGATTTATTTGTATGAGAGGTCGTTTCAAATCCTCCAATTTGGACTGGACTAGATATCAAGTCCTCATACAAATATATATCAGTAAAACACTTGCCTTTATTTTTTATAGTTATAACAATCAAGCAAGATCGATCGGAAATTGCAATTATTTCCTTTCTGCATGATACTTGACTGTTGAGTATGGCGTAGGAGTTAAGATTTTTGTTAAGTTTGTATTTCCTTTTCTCCTTTCTCCCAATATATATTTTTTTATTATAATATATATTTGTGATATTGCTCTGAGTATATATATATATATATATATATATATATATATATATATATATATATATATATATATATATATATATATATATATATAGTACAATCTGCAGACATGCATGTTTCGGCGTTCAACGCCTCGTCAGTGCAGCTTGGTACACGTCTAGATACGTCTATATATATATATATATATATATATATATATATATATATATATATATATATATATATATATATATATATATATATATATATAAAATAAGTGCAACGATCTTTATTACTATTAGTTTCGTACCACAAGATGTGGCACTCATCAGATAAATTAGCCTTATGACTACAGCAGAAAACCTACAGTATTTATGTACAAGTGGATGAAAGCTTTAAAGTAATCCTTTTTACAAAGCACGCAAAGCAATTATTTTGTTACTTGATAAAATTGACAGGACGCGGAAGTATTAACAACACATCAGCATAACGCCAAGCTATTAAGATTGCGCGGTATATTTAAAACAAAAATATGTCTGTCTCGAGTGCATGCCCTTTAAATGTTAGCTAAAAGAAATTTTTTCGCATGTCTGCACGAAGACACTAATTCATTACGTTTGTTCAAAGTAGCTAGTTCAGGTTTACATATAATAAAGTATTTTTCCCACAAGCAGAGATTACATCTATTAGAAGCAGGGCTGTAGGGTTTGGCCCGTTTCAAGGTTTGCCATTTAATATGAAATTCAATTCCTTTGCACTTTAACTGCCAGACATATTTGCTAAGTTCAGTGGAGTTCCTTTTCTCGTACAAAGTAAATGAGGTTTTGTGGTTATATAATATCTAGTTTTAAAAGCGTTTTCAGTCAGACCAACGTATGTTTGAGGTGGACTATTGTCGTTGGTAGAAACTGTAGCTTGATATACAATAGATTCAACCAAACACTTTTTGGACATTGGGCACTCCTCTTTCTTTCTACAGTTACATGTGCTTTCTTCACTCGTTGTGG